CAAAGTTTTCCAGAAATGTAAGAACAGCAGGATGTTGGCATGCAGAGGGTCACAGAAGGTTGTCTCCTTCCAGCTGTCCCACTGCGAAGACCCATTGGCTTCTGCTCTGATGTAAATCAGCGACCCAGGCTTCAAAACCAGGGCACACTATGTCAGCAGAGTGAACTGCGCACACAGAATAGGGGTGAGGCTTGTGGAAGCATACTACAACTACAGATTTAGTAATCATAAATCAGGACAAAGAAACATGTCGTCTCTCTCTTTGTCTTCTCCGAGAGACAGAGAAAAGCTAAAGCTATACACAAACGGAAGTTCCCAGCAGACTGTGCTGGATTGTAAACAGACATGTGACACGCAACAGTTCCATGTCTGTAACTAAAGGTGGAGTGGAATTTTTCAACATGCATGAAGTTGACTGACCAGAAGTCACTTTATGCGGAAAACAGCCATATGAATTTGTTCCTTTGTTGTTTACCTGATCGTTGTTTTCTGTGTGCCATTGCCTGCTTCCAAACTGAGACAAAACCAGAGAACTTTTCAGGTGTTACTGATTCTCACAGAGCACCTCTGTCAGTTTTGCAATGAGGAAGAAGTCTAGTGAGGTGAGACCCAGTAGTGCAGGCAGTGTACCAACCATATTGCGCATAACTGTCTTGGATGTGGCATGGGTTATGCAACCTCATTATAGCTGTTGCATATGCAATCACAAGCGCAAAACTGTTGCTGAACTATGTGCTTTGAAGTGTTTGGTTTGGGCATAATTGCAACATGGAATGTCGGCGCTAATAAGAAATGGTTTCTTCTTTTCCAGAGTTGCCTGCTAAATCGGTTGATCTGGCAGCGATTAACCTGACTGAATTGGTAAATGGGATGCTAAACACGGCTCTCAAAGGTATCTGTTCCTTCCCATTCTATTATTTGTTTGAATTCCTGCTCCATGATTGCAGTCATGGGATTGTTGTCTATCACATGACAGTGTATGTTTTGACTTCACAGAGTGGGAAGTGACGGAGACAGGATGTTTGTGTTACTGTGTTCCGTGAAGTGGGACTATTGTCATTTGTTTTTTCTCTTTGCTGTCTGATGCTAGAGAGAGAGGGAGCCATGTTGCAGTGCCCCGTGTGTGTTTATATGTAAATAAAGTAGATTAACCAAAATGCTGAGTTGCTGAGGTCGTTACGCATGATGTGCAAACTCTACGGATCCCTAAGTGTGCTGGTATCGGTTGGCATTGTTCTCTGTGATGTTTGGGCAGAAGAAAGCTTTTGAAGCTCCCAAATGATCGACCAGGAGGGAGAGAACATGCCAGTCGGGCATGTGTCTCTGCCAGGGTCCTACTCGAGTGTAGGCTGAGCTCCTTGATTAACTACATTCAATGCATGCCCATTGGAGAATGGAGAAAGGAGGTATGCAATGTTAGGGGCAGGGGCAGGGGAAAGCAAATGCTATATCTGTGAGCTTGGGCCCTTTCCCGAATATTCATTTGCATGTGTATATAACTGATGGGCAAGTTTTGTCTATATCTCCACAGGCAGCAAAAAGTTCTTCTCATTGCTGAGCATCACATCTTACAGCTCGTATGCCTTCCATAAGGTTTCCATAGTCGTCTACAACAGTAAGCTAATTTTCCTTCAGGGAGGAAGGGTGGGTTATAAATCTAATAAATATATATTAATGGGTTTTTAAACGTTGTGGTTTGTCAATGACAATTATGCCATGCTTTTTCTGCTATCTTTGATGAGATTTTCCTAAAAAGGAGGATGAAAGCCCTGTTCAGGGAAGTTTTTAATGTGTGACATTTTTGTGTATTTTTGGTCTCTGTGGAAGCTGCCCAGAGTGGCTGGGGAAACCCAGCCAGATGGGCGGGGTACAAATAATAAATTATTATTAATTATTATTATAATTTAGAAACAAGCAAAACATAAGCCATTAAATAAATATTTATAGAATTTATCTACCACTTCCTCCTCCAAGGAGCTCAGGGTAGTGCACATGGTTCACCCCTTTATCCTCACAGCAACCCTGTGAGGGAGGTTAGGTTGAGACACAGCAAGTGGTCCAATTAATTGTTGGAAACACGCCCGGGAGGGCCTCCAGCTTCCTAAGTCTTCAGGGCGTCTCTCTGTGGTCCTCCCTGACTGTAAATCTCCCTCAGTTCAGAGAGACCAGTAATAAGTGACCCCTCTCTCCTGAGAGGAGCACACTCGTCTTCTGGCATATCATAGCAGAAGAAAGAGTCAATCAGTAGCTCTAAACTACTTTATTTTACAGTCTATATACAGAGAATCCATCAGCACGTCTGTGCTCTTTCAGCATGTCTGTGCTCTTTCAGCATCAGTACAGAAGTAAAACTAACTTCCAACAGTACTCCAACAGTACTGAGACTTCCTGTCTCACGCTCTCTCAGACACTCACATGATATACCGTATTTTTCGTCCTATAGGGCGCACCGGCCCATAGGACGCACCTTGTTTTTTTGGGGGAGGGGAATGAATAAAAAAAAATTATTCCCCACCCCCACCCCGCGGCTGCCGCCCCAAGCCTTGCACACACCTGACTGAAGCACGGGTCACCCTCCGGAGGGCTCCCCGTACTTCGGGCGACAGGCTGCCGCCCCAAGCCTCGCGCGCTCGGCGGGACCTCCTGCCAGGCGCGCAAGGCTTGCGGACACTCGCCGGGGCTGCAGGCTGCTGCCCGCAAGCCTTGTGAGCTTGCGGGAACTCCCGCCGGGCTTTCAAGGCTTGCGGATAGCTTCCTGAAGCCTGGAGAGCGAGAGGCATCGGTGACCCCTCTCGCTCTCCAGGCTTCAGCGAAAGCCTGCATTCGCCCCATAGGTCGCACACACATTTCCCCTTCATTTTTGGAGGGGAAAAAGTGCGTCCTATGGGGCGAAAAATACGGTACACAAAACATAGTGCTACTGCTGGAGCAGCATGGATGGATAAAAAACCTAACATAAATTACCTGATTTAACAATTCAACTCCTGAACATTGCCCATGTCTTAAATGCCTCTGCAGTGTATGTCTTGTTGCTTTGTCCTCCTCCTTTCTTTACAGTATCCAACCTGAAGAATATCGACCCCACCAAATTCCCCATGAGGTACTGCTATTGCTTGAACAACAGGACAAATGACTTAACAGGTGAGTGGTGTGGGAAAGATATTTGCTATTGCCACCAGGGGGACATTGCCAAAGTATCTGAGGGATACGCCCAACATGTCAGTCTTTACTCGCAGGTAAGCAATATGCCGTTGCACAGGAGTTGGGTGCCAATACTTAAAAATGGGCAATTTAAACACCCTTTTTTGGGTGGAGGAAGTGATGATTGTAAACCAGGGATGGTGAACATGGCAGCCCTGCAGATTATTGTAAACCAGGGTGGCCAGTTCTCGGGCATGATGGGATTTGTAGTCCAACAGGTGGACCATAGATCCCACCATCCCTGTCGAAATGTGTAGTTTGGCCTTTTCTGTTCCATCACTTCATTTTGGGTGGTAAAGAGATGGACTTGGGGAAGGTCCTGGACTAGACAAGTGCTTTATTTATTTGGCTGGGTTTTCTCTCTCCAGATTTTACCGCTTTGCTAGTTGATATCGTTGGCAACTCCACTGATTCCCTTAAAGAAATTTTCAAGTCTACCTCTATTGTGTCAGGTAAGAGTCATTGCTGGCAAATTTGATGCCAAGTGCATTAAGCTTGACAATCGAAGGGCAGGTACAGGGAATGTGGGTGCCGGGCCATGGACCCCATCTGCTGCCCTGACCAGAGGGGCTCCCCACCACACTCACCCGCCTCACCTGAACGAAGGTCACCAGATTTTTTTCAAAGAATCCAGGGACACTTTTTTTTTTTGAAAAGAGAAAAAAAGATATAAAAAATAATAATTAAGAAGTAGAACCTCCTCTTCTGCGGTCTCCTCTGTCGTGCGGCCTTCATCTGGGCCCCAGCCTGCTCTCTTGGAGTGCTAGCCACCGTGAAGTAGGCTTGGCCATGTGCCCTTGCCCTTCCGGTGCTCTCCTACCTCTCTTCCTTAGCGGTGGCAGCGGCGCGACAAGGTTGGGGCTCCCCTCTTTTTTCTCCTTCCTCTTTCTCTCTCTCCCTTTTCCTTCTCCTTTCCTCCTTCTCCCTGCGTTGGTTCCGGGGTTTTCCTGGCCCCGGAGTGCCGCTGGGCAGTCAGCCAAGTGGCCAGTGCTCTCGCTCCCAGCTCAATTTGGGTCGTGGGGGGGGGGTCAGCAGTTCCCCCAGTTGATGCACCAGGTGTACCCAGTTCCCCCTTGGCAGTGGCAGTGGCAGTCTCAGCAGCTCAGAGCCAGCCTGTTAGCGCAGTTGATTGCTGACCGCTGACATGGCACCCGCCATTTTGCCTCACCAGAAGTCCCCATATGATGTGTCTTGTGCTGTTGAACCAATCACACAACATTCATTCCCTACTAATAAATCTACAGCACTTAAAATATAAACCCGGGGGCATTAAATGAAATCCGGGGACGTTCCGGGGACGGATTTTGTCCGGGGACAGATTTGTAAATCCAGGGACTGTCCCCAGGAAACAGACATCTGGTAACCATAACCTGAGCAGCACTTTGAGCAGGAGCTGGGAGAGGATGGGCCCTTGCCGTCCTCAGCTATGCAGTGTCTCCCACCGGTGGGGGAGGCAGGCAGATGGCAAGACTCATGCCAGTGCCCCAGCCCAAGGAGCCATGCACATGTGTCCTGCTGATGCTCCACAGCCCTGTCTGGCAGCAGCATTGGTGATGCATGGAGGCACAGGTTAGGAGGCGCAATACTTGCCTTACTGGGCGCAATACTTGCCATGCCCTGGGAATCGGCAACCCACGCTACACCACTGCTGCCCATGCCATGCACCAGGAGCAGCCCTTTTTCAGGACTTACAGCAGCTTAAGACCCACAGTGCTTGGCTCAGTCAGCTGGATCCCAATTCAGCTGAGGGTCATAGAAATGTAGATTTGGAAGGGACTACGAGGGTCATCTAGTCTAACCCCTTACAATGTGGAGCTGGAACCCACGACCCTGAGATTAGGAGACTCGTGCTCTACCAACTGAGCTGTGGAAGGAGTTAAGCTGGCGTAGCCTGGCTGAGCTGAGATCGTCCTGTTTCAGCCAAGGATCTGCTGGATCCCATCCTGCTCCTCCTGGTGGATCTTTCTATAGGATTGCTCCCTTATCCACTACACAAATTCAGGAGGGAATCAGATTTAGGCTCGATTTGCTTGGATGCTGTGTGTGTGTGTGTGTGTGTGTGTGTGTGTTTAATGCATGCTACAAAGAAGGTCCAGTGAGGAAATTATAAGGAGGGCATTGTTCCTTGCTATTGCCCCTTGAAATTCCATCTTGAAAGATCTTGGCACTACAACTTTAGGGATAATTTTTGGATATTTCTGTCGCAGACTTTGTGATGTGAATGGGAAAACTGGTTTTGTTGTTGTTGTTCCTCTTCAATGGGTTTTAATTAAGGCAGCATCTGTCTTTCAGTGAGCCAAGGAAATGACACGGACTGCATCTATATTTGTGTCATGTCAGGCCGCACAGGTAACCGTGTAATCGCTCTTCTCTTCCCCAAATATGTTGCTTAGAAATCTGAACTCTGTATTCGGAAGAATCCTGTGCACAAAAGCCCACCTTGGACTGGACCACTTCAGCTGGGGGTGTTCAGAGCTTCATTGCTTTGGATGGGGGTGTTTCAAGGCTAAATGGACCAGGCTTGACTACTGTAATCCGCTCTACGCGGGGCTGCCCTTGAAGCTGTCCCAGAAACTCCAGCAGGCACAGAATGCTGCAGCAAGGCTCCTCACGGGGTCTCTGCCATGGGAGCATATTCACCCAGTGCTTTTCAAGCTACACTGGCTCCCGGTGGAGTACAGGGTCAGATTTAAGGTGCTGCTTTTGACCTTTAAAGCCCTTCACGGCCTAGGACCCTCATACCTACGAGACCGCCTCTCCTGGTATGCCCCACGGAGAGCCTCAAGGTCCATAAATAACAACACCCTAGTGGTCCCAGGCCCTAAGGAAGTTAGATTGGCTTCAACCAGAGCCAGGGCCTTTTCAACACTGGCTCCAGCCTGGTGGAACGCTCTTGTCTCATGAGACCAGGGCCCTACAGGATCTGATTTCTTTCCGCAGGGCCTGTAAGACAGAGTTTTCCGCCTGGCCTTTGGCTTGGAGCCAATTTGATTCCCTCCCTCCCTCTCTTTCTTTTTTCTTTTCCTCCTCCTTCTGTGATGAGGCTACATTTTAATATTTTAATGTTCCATTATTTTAATGTTGTATTTTATTTTTGTTTTTAAGTTGTAATCATTCATCTTGTTTTTATTATTGCTTGTAACCCGCTCTGAGCCCGGCCTTGGCTGGGGAGGGCGGGATATAAATAAAAAATTATTATTATTATCATTATTATTAAATCTCTGCCCAAGCTAACCTAACATGCCAAGAGGAAGGGTTGTAGTGATGGAGGCCAATCCTTAAGGTTGAATGGGGCACTACCTCCCCAACATCATGCTGGCTGAAGGTACTTATAACCCATCCAGGGTGTGACACTGACAGAAAACATCTACCTTCATGGTCCCTGTTTTGTGTTTGATGAACTCAACAGGAAGGACGATGGAGACAAATCTAGAATTTAGTTGGCTGTGCCAGTTATGGGCTCTAGTACCACCTACTGTTGGCCTCCGTACCTTCCACTAGCCAATACTTGGACCTTGAGCATGTTACTCAGGTGCTCTTCCACTGAGCTACAGCCTTTCCCATGATTCTGGGACAAGCACTAGCCTGCTTGCCTACTGCTATCCCAGGTCATTCTCTCGCCCCTTGTCACATCCAGTTTTATTGAAGCATCCTGAATCCACATTTTCCCAACAGGAAGAAACCTGTCCGATTTGTGGGAAGCCATTGAAAAGTCACCGTTTATTAATTACACTTTTTCAGGAAATGTGTCAGACCTTCTGGGTAAGTGTATCTTGAATGTAACACGGAGGGAGGCCGAGCTGTTAATGAACAAGAAGCGTGTTTGAGTTGCATGAAACGGCCAGGCTTTGATCTTTGGAAGTTAAGCTTGCTTCTATCCTAAGACCCTTTAGCGCTACTGAGGCATTACTTGTCAGCTGGGCACACAAGCAAAATGGTGGTACTTAATATAGCTCAATCCTATCCACCAATGTCCTTTCCCAGGGCCCAATTCCTCCTTTAACATTTATTGCGTGTCGAGGTCCCCCAAGCCACGCTTAAATAATTCACAATTCACACATAATTTTTGTTTAAGGTTTTTGGCATAATTGTGGCCACAACTTTATTAAAATACATAAATGTGAGTGGTTGCTTAGGCATTGTTTATGACTATCTATCCCCACGCCCAGGGACAGAACTGACTTCCAGATTCCAGCGAAAGCCAGTGAGGGAAAACAATATTGAGGAGAGCATGGAGCCAGGCACCAGACCCCCCACATGCTCCTGGGGGCTTGCGTGGCCCTTAGCCCCATTCAGGGGTACAGATGAAAGAATGGCAAGCCCCTGGATTCCTTTAACAGAATTCCATTGCAGCAGCAGCATTGGAGGGGCAGGCACTTACCCCTCCACCAACCAATTTTTTAACCAATGCCTAGCCGCAACCTTACAAGTTGTGACAATTTGCTAAGCAGTAGGCAAAAACCAAATGGCATCAGCCAATCAGCCAAATGGACAAAATTCCTACCAGGCCCCTGCCCCCAAAGCAGACGACCCCATGACAGGCATAGCAAGGTCAACGCAATAGCCCTAGATTAGGGAGGGTGGGTGAGTGATCCAATGCACGCAGCAAAAGAGCCCAGTCAGTGCTGCGTGACTTGATTTTGTAACCTTTGGTCCATCCCCCTAAATGGCAACACCAAAATTTGCCCAGTAACCCAACCGCCCAATCACTGCAGATGGTCATCCATACTAACCCGCCCAGCAACAGAGGGGTGGCCTGTCAGACCCCACCGCAACACCTGCTCTCTATGAAGGAGAACACGCTTTCCCATGCAAATCCCATTCAGTATGAGCAGGGAACCTCAGGCCCAGAGGTCAATAATCAAAGAAATTGTAGACTTAGGAGGAACCACAAGAGCCATCAAGTCCAGCCTCCCTGCAAGTCCAGCCTCCCTGCATTGCAGGCATGTGGCCCATCGAAGGTTGCCTGCAAATGAGCGTGGCCCTCAAGCTGGGGGTGGGGTAGGATCCCCATTCCAGCTATTTGTGAATGCTCATCTGCAGTGTTCATCATAAGATTCCAAGTTGCAGATACTGCCTCTGTTATTGGTTCTTGTTCAGCATGACCATGGGCAGGCGGATGAGTGATGAGGTGCTGAGAGCCAGTGTGGTGTAGTGGTTAAGAGCGATAGACTCGCAATCTGGGGAACCGGGTTCGCGTCTCCGCTCCTCCACATGCAGCTGCTGGGTGACCTTGGGCCAGTCACACTTCTGTGAAGTCTCTCAGCCCCACTCACCTCACAGAGTGTTTTTTGTTGGGGAGGAAGGGAAAGGAGATTGTTAGCCGCTTTGAGACTCCTTCGGGTAGTGATAAAGCGGGATATCAAATCCAAACTCTTCTTCTCAATCAGTTATTGCCTGTTTCCTGTGGTGGCGTTTTCCAGTGTTTGGTGGTGATGGCCATTGCATTTTCTTTGCTGCAATAGCTTTCCTTTCTTTTTCTCTCCCTCCCTCAAAGGTTTAGATTTGATTCTCCCCGGCCTGGTTCCTTTATGGGAAGATGCTGACAAGGTCTTAGGTGATGCTGCAAAAGACACATGGACATTTAAAAGTGCGCAAGTATCCCTCTGTGTTTGGAAAGGCAATGTTTTGTTTATTTGGCTGACTAATCCTTTGTCTTTCAATGGGCATGGTTGTTTTTAGATGTTCTTAAACATCTAAAGTACAAAATGCCTTCACTTACCTTATTGTACCGGCAATGATATCATTTTGATGGGGAAAGGAAGGTGCTCTCTCCTTGATCTTCACCATTCCTAAAAATGTTGCATTCTCTGTTTTCTGTATCACAGTTCCCAGGCTACTTTGGGGAAAGCCATGATTCTACCTGACTGTGATGGCTTTTAGCCAAGTAGTATTGGAAGCACAAAATCAATGTGTGTACTGGTGGAGACAGTGGTGTGCTTACGCATGTATGTGATTGAAATATATATAAGCACATATATATTTATCCTCTGATGGGGCACCACTGAGGGTACCATATGTCCCAGAGGTGCACTTAATTTGTACCGCAAAACTGGGTTTTTAGAGTTGCAGCTCCAGCCCTCTGGAATCAATTGCCAGCTGAAATGAGATGGGACTTGACATTTAGGTGGTTACTGAAGACCTTTTCCTTCAGAAGACCTTCCCAAAAGTGTGATCCAGTCATTTTTTGCAATATTATTTGTACAACCGTAGAAATGGTTTTATTGTTTTTCAGAACTTTTGGGGGTTGTTTTTTTTGTATTCAAACTCATTTTTTATTGCTGTATGCCAGTTTGGTAATTTTGGGCAGTGAAGCAGTTTATAAATCTGCAAACGATAATGACATATCTATATCTAATCTATATTTTATCTTCATATTTCCTAAACATATTTCAGCTACAAAGATACCTAGGTGGTCACAGACTGGCGACTGGAAAGGAAAAGAGATGCCGTTCATGCAGGATCCCACAATACAAAAGAGTGTTAGTCCAACAGGCTTCGAAGAATCATCATCAGAGGCTCCCTTATGGCTGCAGACTCAGGTTTCAAGAGCATATGAGGTTTCATCGACTACAACGGCTTCAGCAGGGTCTCCTCCAACTCCTCTGGGAAACTATGACAGTCCATCAGAAGCTCCAGCAACTCTCAGTGAGTTCTGAGGATTCAGAACAGGGTGCACAGTCCATATCTGGATGGAGTGTGAGCATAAAGCAGGCAACTGCAATCTGTCACTCAGACAATCGCTTTCTCTGTGTCACATTTATTTTAATAGATTTTATTGCTTTCCTTGGAAACGCTTTTAAAACCTGCTCTGTTTCATTTCAAACAATCATACTCTGCACAGATAACGTAAAAAACGCCTTGAATATCGGCA